TGGACTTTACAAACTTTACAAGAGTTACAGGGAGTATTCTTGGCACCCCTCTGGCTGCCAGAAATCTTGGTGTTACTTTTTAATTGTGACCAGAGTGTTGAACCACATGTCAAAACAGTCATGTTCCCTCAAACTCAAAGTTATTGCCAACACCCAAACTATTTATTTCTTTTGGTGTACTGGATTTTCCCCCCCTCCCTTCTGATCTTCTGGAACTTTCTTTTTGCTGGCATTCGTCAAAGGTCACTGTTTTGCCTCTTCCTATTTTTGCTAAGGCTACATGACAACACCACAGTCTTGGCTTTACTCCACATATGTCCTGTTGAGCAGATATTGTAGTTGTGTAGAGATTGTAGTTATTAGCTTTATAGCACACTTAGGTTTGGCTCATTCCTGGATAATGGACAATCCCTTGGTTGTCTGTTCAGATCTTTGAACCCTTAGATTGTCATTCCTTGCTAGTCTGCAAGCTCATGTTTTATTTGCTCTGCCAGATGTGCCTGGTCGCTGTTACAATTACACAGATTTCCCCCTAGTCTTGGATCCCAATCACAACCGTTTATCTAATATGTGACAGGTTTTATAAGATGACTGTACAGAAGAGCACAACCTTATTTGCTGTTGAGGCATTTTTGTACACAACCAAGGTTAACTGTTTCTGTGGATCATGTCAGTATTACGAAATATTTTTTCTAAAAGAGTAAGATAAGAGAGACGCGTTGCCATACTTCCAACAAGATTTGATCATTTTAATTAACCAACTACGCTGCACAACACGTCGTTTTGCTCTGACTGTAAGTGTATCCAACTGCATCCAAAGGCATTTTGGTCTACACCCCTTGATAACGCCCCTTGGAAATTGAAAATGAACTGAAAGGTCAATGCCAGGCTAATTGCTGTTTTTAGTTGCTTCACTGCACAGCCACTAGCATCTGTCAATTCAATGACAGAGTATAAAGAGATCCAGAAAGACATATGATGGGGAAGGGGTTTGATTCTGCTCCAAAAAGTCTTGACTGGCTCGGCTATAATGTCCCATTTTATTTAAGATTGCTTTAACTGTTTAAATGATTCCTTCCTGTATTAGTCATCTTTGATGTTCACAGACTTAATGCAAATAATGATCTGTGGAATCCACAGCTCTGTTTTTAGTCTGCTTTGAGGGAAAGCAGAGATAAACTGTGCACTTTTTAGTTCAAGGAGACTTTGGTATCACAATGCAGATGATGTCCTATTTTTAGAGGAAGTGCACTAATTAGGCTGTGGATTTAAGCCTTTCTTCAAGCCCATATGATGAGACTGGTTTCTTCAAGGATCTGGTTCAGTTTTAGACCCCAGACTGAATAACATTAACAACATCATCAGTTGAAATGTTCTATATACAAGAAACTCTGACAGGTTTCCTTTTTGCAAGGTAGGGCAGTGATCCTTGTATTTTCTTGTGGTTGTTTAAAGGGTTATAGTTTAACATTGAAGATATAGTTATTATAATTGTGATTCTGTCTCCCAAGGACTCATAACACTCTCCCACTCTCAAAAATGTGTTTTGCTTATTGTTACTTCACTAGGATGTTTGACCTTCACTGTGCAGAATAATGTATGAGAAGGCTGCTTTCAAGTTCACCTGCTGAAGTGGGGAAAGTTATCTGTGCTCTCTTAAAATATGAGTTTAAGACACGTACCAATGATTTTGTGTCATCACAATTAGTTTGGAAGCCAATCGTGACCCGGTAGGGAACTTGCACTAAAATTCTAGTCTCTAGTGCTCATTAACAGAAAATTAACTTTCTAGTGAAGTAGAGATGTCTTATGTTCAGTCAGTTTTGAAATGAAAATGATCATATTTATGGAATCTGGATTTTTCATTTACGGAAAAAGAGCTGATGTAATTTGAGGACATTTTTAACAAGGTAATGGAACTTCTTGTGGAAAAACCATATCGGACAGAGTATTTTTTTATGTCTGGGAGGGATTATGAACTGCTCCTTTCTTTTTTCTTTCTTTTATTAACAACCCCATTTCCCACAGCAGCAGCAAAAAAGCTCTGATAAAACCATAGTGCATTATTGGGCTGAAACCAAACAGCTGACAGACTAAGTTAGTGAAGTGAACATAGTGAAGCATTTAGCTAAAGACCCAGAGGGTGGTGGACACAAACAGACATTAAAGGGTAGTGATTATTGGACTTCGTCAGGTGGCCAGAAACACGACTTCACACAAATGCTAATGTTGCCCCATGTCTGCTGGGCGTGTAAAAAGACACAACACCGAACTGGTTGATTAAGCTAAATACAACCGTCTAAATAAAATGCATTACAGTCCCTTCGAGCTGTTCGAGAGGGCGAGTACGTTTTCGATAAAACCTCACCCTAAAGTGCTGCTAACCCAATGCTAAGCTTACAAGTGAAGAACTTTACTTTAAACTTTGGTAAATGGATTTGGGTCTGGGGATTACCAGAGACTAGAAACAAATGTAGAATTTGTTAAAACTAAAAACCAATCCATGAAGCTTCTGTGTTGTCACTTAGCATTTGACAGTTAGCCTAGTTGTAGTTTAGGGTGGGTCAAGTTAAACTGGTTTATTCAGTTTAACCCATTGCTGCTTGCTACATCACATTAGCTACAGTAACATTATCTCATTTCAAAGTTAACTTAGCTGTAGTTTAGAGTCGGTCAAAATGGTGATTTTAGTTTAAGATTTTAGATATAAATTAACATGCTGTAGAAAATTTTACCCCTGCTCTGAAATGCTTAATAGAATTTAAAATTACACCTCCACTACTTTTGCCTCATTTGACCAGCTCAGAGCTAAATTTGATTTACCAAAATCACATTTTTTTAAGATTTCTACAGGTCCGGGATTGGATGCGTAACCAAACACGATCATATCCTGCAATCCCTGAACAACAGCCCATGGATACGTTGTTTCCAACAGCTCCATCTAACAAAGGCATAATATCCGCTATTTATATGAAACTCTCATCCCTACAGTTGGCATCTCTTGATGCATTGAGAGACGCATGGCAGGCTGATCTGAATTATAAATTACTGAATGGTCAGACATATTTTCAAGAATACACTCCTCATCAATTTGTGCCAGACATGGCCTACTTCAATTCAAAGTTGCACACAGACTGCACTTGTCTAAAGCCAGACTCGCAAAGATATACCCAGCATTGGATAATTTGTGTAATAGATGCAATCTTTCACCCGCAACGTTAGCTCATACATTCTGGTCTTGTCCGAGACTTTCAGGTTACTGGTCTTCTATATTCGATGCCCTATCCAATATATTTAAAAGACCAATAAACCCGGACCCTCTCACGGCCATATTTGGTATTCAATGTGAGGGTGATCATCTTGCTAAGGCACAATCCGATCGCATTGCTTTTGTCACCCTCATGGTGAGAAGAATAATTTTACTTAATTGGAAGCAGGCTACCCCGCCCTCCTACAAACATTTGGTTAGAGATACACTACAACTCCTGAAGCTAGAAAAGATTAGACTGGCTTTACGACGTCCTAATGATAATTTCAGCAGGATATGGCAACCTTTCATTACATATCTGCTCGAACAAACATGAGGGTTTGTCCTATAGGTCAGCTATATGTTATGTATGTATATTACTGAAAGCCACGTTTGTTATCTCACACCGTACGTCTTGTCTTTGTTTTGTTTTTTTGTTTTTTTTGTTGCCGTCTGTTTTGTTTTTTCGTTTGTCTGTTTTGATTGCTCTTGTCATTTATACAAGATCTATTCATTTCCTCTTTTTTTTCTGCTTGTCCCCAGGGGTGGGGGGTGGGGGGTGAAAAAAGTTTGTTTTTGCATTTCTGTATATATGCTGTCACATTTTCAATTGTGACACCTCCACACAGTCCCGATATCTGTACCTGCAATATCAATAAACAGTCAAATATACTACCAGCTTCTGATGATAGAGCAAATCATGCTGAAATGAGCAAGCATGTAACTTTTCCCAGCGGTTTCGTCTTCAATAGCTTCCTATCTAGCAGCCCTGATAAGGAGTTAATGAGGTGCAGATGGCGAGACAGGCAGCCAGGAGGTCTGATGAGGGAATGAGCCACAGGTATGCAGGGCAGAGGACCACAATGAGGGCACCTGGTGGACAGGTGACGAATAACACACAGATGTGTCTGCATTCATCATTTGACATACTACTCACATGGAAAGGTAAAAATAATGAGTTTTATGCGAAATGGAAAGAAAAAAATGTGATGCTCATGGTCTCTAAAAGACTTTTACACATTTCCATTCCCCTAGCAACAACCCTCACCTCAGAGGATCCCTAAACCAAACGGTGGACAGCAGGCAGCAGAGCTGTGACCCAGGTTGGTAAATGCAAATATTTTTATTTAGTATAGGAAAAAAGCTAAATGTGATGCTGCTTTTGCTACAAGTGAAGTAGATCTTTATACTTTATACAGCTCTTTTTATAGCAAGTTAGGTCAATGTAATTACTCCGCCTTATCATACTGAATGTATACCTATCACACTGAAAGCAGTTCAGCAGAAGCTAATATGAGGCTTGATTAGTCTTGACTAATTGACAAATTGATTGGCTTCTTCACACACCGAGAGGAGAGCAAGTTAGTGTGTGTCTACTTGTGAAGTACTTTAAGCTGCTAACATGTATGATACTTGTCTCAGGTTGACTGCCATTAACTTTACCATCAGCGCACATCACACTTCTTTCATTTAATAATTCCGTGGTGCATTGTTTGCAGATTGCAAATACATTGTGAGGATATTTTCTGATTTAGTTTTTCAGGAAGTTGACTGTTGGCAGTAGGTACGTGATTGGAAATCTTGGCTAGTTAGCAGAAGAGGAGCAGTTTGCACACACACACACACACACACACACACACACACACACACACACATTAAAGGACCAGTGTGTAGGATTCAGTGGCATCTAGTGGTGAAGTTGCAGATACAGCTCAGCATTTCAAGCATGTAGGAGAAACTATGCAAAAAGACAAAAAACACAAAAGTTCCTTTATTTGTTTGTCTGATATGCAGAAACATGGCGGTCTACATGGAGGACCCTGTAGATGAAAACAGATCATTCTAAGGTAGCGAAAACACAACAATTCTTATTTTCAGGTGATTATACACAAATGAAAACATACCTATGAATATTTTATTCCATTTCTGCCAACAGAGCTCCCCTAAATCTTTCACACTGGACCTTTTTAAATAGAAGGAGCATACAAAAAGAATTACTTGAAAGATTGTTTTGACTCTTCATTTCCAGCAGCAGGCAGCGTTTTCAGTGAAAAAAAGCTCTAATAAACTCACTATATCCCCAAAACAGACCTAAAATCAGAGTGAATATGGAGTCAAACATTGATCAGGTGGACACAAACACAACCTCAAAAGAATGCAAATGTTGCTACATTTTGGCTGGATGTTCATATAAACCACTCTTTGCTAACAGGTTTGCAATATTAACTTTACAAAGTGATTAATATGTCAGTGTTTGCAGCTTCTTCAGCAATTTTACATAAAGCAGTTCTTTCCTGTGGAAATCAACTGCTGTAACTAACTAAAATAAGTCTCAGCACACTCTAGTGCCACAAAATTAAAGTTATTTTCAGGAAACTGAAATAATTTTGAAATAATGAGCTCAAAAACTGAAATGTTAATTTCCCCAAATACATTTTGCAAATATGACATTTAGATAAAATAAAACAATCTAGTTTCGATCAAGAGATTTTGTGATGTCTGTACTGTCAGAAATAATAAAATATTGTTTATTCACATTGTTCTTATTTAATCGGAATCATGCGTTTAATTAGTCCCCGGTTTAGAATAAGTGTCTAACTCTGTGTTTCTAAACTAGTTCGTAAACCCAGTAATCCGAATTAGAGCCTCTGGTGACCATCTGGTGTCTACACTGGCAGCTCCGCGCACTACTTTGTTACTGCATTCACCTCAGCCCGCCCCTCGGAGTGTGTGTGTGTGTGTGTGTGTGTGTGTGTGTGTGTGTGTGTGTGTGTGTCTCTGCCTGTGTGTGTGTGTCTCTGCCTGTGTTTGTGGGTATAGCCTACCGGGCGGAGTAATTCGTGTTGCTATCTTCCGAGTGCATGTGTGTGCGCGAGTGCGTGCTACGGCTGCAGCTTGTCACTCATTGTGCCGCGAACACGGGTAGCGACAAGGACCAAAATTCCGTCCGGTAGCAGTTGTTATCCCTGGAAAGGCTGATATCTGTTTACCCCCTCGCCCCCCGCCCCCCTTTCAGTAGAGACACCTCGCTTCTCTAAAGTGCGTCTGCTCTTCAAGGAGAATATCTGTGACACATTACAATGCTTCAAATAAGGGACCTCATCTGGGGATTGCTATTCATTGGCTGTGCAGGTAAGAAGCGGAGTTATTTGTTTTCACCATCAGGTTGTGTGGGGATGAATTGTGAGGCTGTGGCCGGAGCAAAAGCTGTGGAATGAAGGCCGAGCTGTGTTGATTGTGGAGCAGCATCCTCTGGTCCCGCCGGCGGCATCCTTGTCACTGACTCCGGACAGCGGCGGTCGGTTGGAGCTGGTGCTCGGCGAAATTCACCACGAATGCAGCAAAAGTTGTTTTTTTTTGTTAGAAGTGAGAGTTTTGCCTCTCCTTGAGCGTGAAATGCCAACCTTTAATTCCAGTTTCGAGGTGTTCTGTTTCTAGTTTCGCATCAGCAGCCGCTCGCCTCCGTGCATTTTGAATGTCTCCGCGCATTACAGAGGAGCCCTCAGCCCCCGGTCCGGTTGGCTCACTGTCCCTGAGTTAGGGCACACTGTAGCTCCCTGTCATTTGGCGGAAAACTACGCACACGTGCTGTGTTTTTTTTTTTTTTTTAAATCCGAGTTAGGCTCGTGAGTGGATTGCTGTGGGTAAAGGTTAGTGGATGCTGGCGGAGATTAGGACCGGGGATGCAGGGACGCGTTTGCGGTCCCCTGAGGCGAGCAGCTACTGCTTATACTCCCCGTGGCTGCTTGTAAACAACCGTGTTCTGTTCCAAACAGCACATAAAGCTAACGTTACCGCCGTATGCTCTCGTGCACAGGTCCAGCTCGGCTCCCTCGCGGAGCTGGGACAGCTGTGACGCACCGGGAGGATGGAGCGCGAGGAGCGTCGCTCGCTCTGCGCGAGGATGCTTTGTTTCGGTCCAGTACTGTAAACAGGTTTATAGGACTTTTTTTTTTTTTATCAAGATGAAATTCAGATTTTGTGGCTCATTAGCACGCGCTTAAACTCTTTCTGGGTGGATTAGGCGCGTGCAGTTTTCGGGCTCTGGCCATCATCGGATTTGGCACGCGAACGGTATTCTGCGCGGATGTGTCACTGTGGGATTTTAGTTTAACACGAGTGTGATCATATAGGTTATCAGCCTCTGACCTTATTTACGTGGCATAAGCTCTGTTTCCTTTGTTTTCCTCTCTGGCCGAATAGCACACTGGAGTTTCCAACTTATTATCGCGGTGCGTTTTTAGGCGCAAAATGATGTTGACACAGGCCCAGGGTGAGGTGATCGGAGGTTTCTTTTTTTATTTGGTTGGTTGGGGGGGGGGGGGGGGGGGGGTTCGACATCCATTGAGGACTACTGAATAGTCATTCAACGTATACAATGGGATCCAATCCCAGAGCTCCCATGGTTATATAGGGCGGGAGGGGACCCCCCCTGCCCCCCCCATTAAACCCCCACCTCCTCACATCCTCCTTCCCTCCCTGCATCTGCCCCCTTCTTTCTGTAGACTGCAACTGTGAGCTCCAAGTGGAGTTCGAGGACCCTCAGGGGTCCTTGGAGAGGGGAACAATAGTTTGATTTGATAATAATGTCATCCATTAGATATTCTCCGAGGAGGAGTCTGACCTCAGGTTTTGACTTCGCCATTCTTCCTCTGAATTCCACAGGTCTGCACTTCTGCTTTTGCCTACAGTCTAACTTCTGTCAGAAAAAAAAGCCCATACAGGAATAATGAGGTTTATCAATATTTGAGAGTTTAAAACGTAATAATGATTTATCAGCCATCGACATGACATGGACACACAAACAGTGTATTTAACACTTCCCATTTTTTTTATTACGTAATTGTGACCGAGATGTGTACTGAGCTTGTCATGTTAAAGTTAAAATAATAAAGCTATCAGTCCCCTCTGGTGGACACACTATTAAATATATGTGTGATGAGCTGAAATTGGGCCATACTGTTGGCCGGGCCGATACATTCGCCAGGATCTAATGGGTTATGTGCTCATGTGTCAGCTCGCATGCGTGAGTTGACAGCATTTGCAAACCTGTATAGACACAACCGAACTCATTGCACCACTAATGGAAATGAATGAAACAAACACTTTAAGTTTATTAGAGAATATTCTTGAGGCATTTCAAAGCCCAGTGTTCCTTTACCACCATTTACACCCAGACACTGTGTCAGCCTGTCACTGGTAGTGGCGTAGAGGGCGGTGTGGTACCAGGGACAGTCAGGATAAGTGTGTATCCTTTTCTATATGATTCATGATCCTGCTGAAATATTCTGTCGCCTCCGCAATTCACCGCACCTCATATGGGAGGGAAAGTGAAAAGGAAGCAAGCAGGGAGATAATTAGACAACTGTGCCTTAGCTCTGCCCTATTGCAACAGGGGAAGAAATTCTAAGAAATTGATCATATTATTTGATAGGCCCGCAGTATATTAAAAGGGTAATGACAGTATCACACAGATTGAAAGCTGAGCAATTTAATTACATTTATTGATTTCCAGTCCCTGTTCCAGTTCAGTGATAATTAAATTTTGAGGCTACTAACAAACAGCAGGACTGGGAGACACACCACCTTCCAAGGAATGACTCAATAATGGCCGGATTAAATAGAATATGATTTTTAGAAGTGGCCACAGACAGTGGCCTTTGTGTCTGGGTTGTGTGTATTACCGGTTCTGACACGGTGTTATTGGAGTGCTCTGCCACATGCACGGCGAGCGTTCTCCAACCTGAAAGAGTGCGAGGTGATGGAGACTAATCAGAGTAACAGAACTGTTGGTTACACCTGTTGTGGAGTGAATATGAGAGTACCTCAGATTTACTGCTACTGAGGGGTTTGAAAGTATGGCTTTAAGGTTGCTGATAAGTGATACTTGATGTCTGCTTGCGGTTTTAGGTTTTTGGCCTGAAGCTAGTGATTTTCTGTTGCTAAGTGTTGAGAGGTTGATCCAGCTTTTAGTTTTTTTTACTTGGTTTCATGTCCTTTTGCAGTCAGCTGTGTGCAGACAAACATTAGCACCGTTTGAGGGGAGAGGGGGGAAAGACACTCAGCCTCCTCAGTCCTGATACAGAGGACTTGGCTCAGCTTTTGCTTCAGTGTCATCTGGCAGCGTGCTGTCGGCCACTCAAATACGTGCAAGTGTACGTTCCTGATTGATTAACGTGATCGAGATAATTCCACTGTTTGCTTTACGAGATGGAGGATACAATTATTGTCGTCGTGATTACTTTAAAGACTTGTAAAATCCTTCCTCGTGGTATTTTTAAACCTCTTCAGACTGTCAAACTCATGCACCTATTACTCAAACTGGACTTCCTCAATTGAGTTTCTTTATTTGTTCACTACCTGGAACGACTCGCCCCTAACCCGTTTGTGTTCTTTTTGGTCTGAACTTCCCAGTTGCTGCTGTGCACCTGCTATTCCATTTCTTTAGTTTCTATGAAACTCAATATACCGACTTCAAGAGCAAAGCAGACCCATGTGCTTTTGAATCTGAAGACAAAGTGAACTGTGAAGTTCATTTAATGAGCCCCTGGATCTAAAACAATGTTTTTGTGCATCAAGCGTATAAGGCTGCTCCTAAAAAAGAAGAAGTTTAACTTAACATTTGAGGGAGAGAAAATACACAATTCCTAAATGACTAACATATGGGACTTTGACTGCTGTGGTGAGTTCAAAGCCACTATGAAAATAATACAGGCTATTTTTGACTTAGGGGAACTGGAAAAAGCAGCCAAACAAGGGAAAATTATAAGGCGTTTTTTAGTCTGCTCTCTGAATAAAACTAGATTCTGGATCTCAGAACTTTGCTCTGTACTCACAACAAGATCCACGCTGCATTCAAAGTGACATGTACACATTCTGTACCAATTTATTACAGCTTATGTTGATCAGAGCAGGAGCTGCTCCGATTGCAGCTGTACCCTTTGTTATCTTATATTCAGATAGTGTGTAGTGTAGCTACTGTACAGTTATAAAAGCAAAATGCAGCAGCAGAAAATCTCATTGAGTCATAATTGCAACTTTAGTTGATTTGCCAGATGTGAGTTCTACACTGCGGTTTACGCTAGCCTCATTCATTACTGTGCATTCATTATTACGCTCTTTTTCCATGTACTTTACTTACTCTTCCCACTATCATTTTAGCCTTTGTAATGTTTAAAAACAATGAATTACTTTACAACTCTAAATTTTTATTACTGTTCTGGATGACAATGATGGAAACAAATTTTTTAGTGTCTTTCCCAAAATATTGCACTCTACTGTTTACATGATGGGTAACCAAAGTACCTCAAATTCCTCAACTTAAATCATGGAAGAAACTAAATGAGGGGTTTTGCAGTACCACGCCTGAAACTAGGGCCGGCTCACGCCTGCTTAGGGCCCTATGCAGGATCGATACAGCTGCCCCTGAAAGGAGAAACAGTGTTATTTATGAACATTTAAATCACTGAAAGAGAAAAGAAATAACTTGACAAAACTCTGTCTGCAACAATTAGGCTTTAAGGCACCACAAGCGCAACATTTTTATTTTGTCATAACCCCCCAGTTTGCCACTGCGCCACCAAATTGCAAAATAGTGTTTTTATAATTGTTTTCTGCTTTAGTCCCCAAAATCTTACACTTTCACAATTAAATTGGAGCATAAATGAACAGAAAAACACAGTCACAGTTAATGATGTCATTAGGGCTGTTTTCAGATCTCATCATGTAAAGGTCAAACAATTTTTAGACATGAGAATCAAACATACTTTAAGGCAGTGGTTTTTGATCAATTATCCATAAATTCATGTCATCCCATGGTGCTTCTTCATACTGGATCGAAAAGTGCAGATAGTTCCAACCCATAAGTTCAAAATGACTTGTCTGGCAGTTATATTTCTTCTCTGCTGACTGTGAGATGAGGATGGGCTGTCTTTGCATATTAATCAGTGCATGAATAGGGACCATGAGTGATTTGCATTGTGTGAGAAATGAAGGCGTCCTATGGAGAATTGAATGTTGGGGGGAAAAAAAAAAAAAAATCAGAAAAAAGTAGATGAGTTTGTTATACAGAATGGGGTCTGCCCCCTCCCCCAACCCTGCAACCCTTGAATGAAGGTTTTTTTCTATCAGCACAGCATTACTTTGCAAAACTCTGTACAGTATATGCACACATACAGTGTTGACCTAACAGCATAACTGTTTACAACAATTAACAACAAGTAAAACTGATAACTGTATTTTTTGTCAGTGGGAATTTACATGTAAGAACCGCAAATGTAAATGGTGTATATATATATATACTGTGAATATGACAAAGACTTTCTTCTTCAAAGCATTTTCCACAGGGTGCCTTTTCAATGCACTGTATTGCATATGACAGTTTAACATTAACTTCTGGCCTGTATTGGGGGTCTACATAGTATTGAACATCTAGAACAGCGAGATCATATAACCTAGAGTAAAAAACCCACCACTTGTATCAGTTTGACCTTTTAGTAAATTGTCATATTCAAAACACACATGGGTTCAGCGAGTGTTGTTGGTCAATTTGGAACATTCAGTATTAATTAACTAATAATCAATACAGCACCTCCTTGGTTCCTCAGAAATACAAACAACACAAGTGTGAAGACGATTGGATGAACGGTTATGATGGAAAGCCAAGAACACACACACACACACACACACACACACACACACACACACACACACACACACACACACACATAAAGACAGGCCGACAGAGAGTCCTTCCTTTAGTTATAAGTTATAGTTTGTTTGTTTGTTTGTTTGTTGTGGCTAGATGTCATTGAATATTGTCCAAAGTTGAAGCCATCCAACCCCACAGCTAGACTTTCTGGCCTTTAGATGTTTTCCTCTACCAGATGACTACATGTGGTACCAGCACAAAGCTGGCATATGTGGCTAATTTAAACCGTTCAAATTTACAGGACTTTGTAGAAATCGCCAAATGTACTGAAATCTTATTGTCTCGCTTCCCCTGGTCCAATCGCTTTAGCTTTTCATACTAAATAACTCTTCAGTTCTCTTCAAAGAAGTCGTGGGCATCCCAACAGGGTGAACTGGTATCAGCTTTTAATGGATTCAGATAAACCGTGCTTGATGTGAATGTGCCCCAAGATCACATTCAGCAAGGTAAAACGTCTCTGGGAGTGGTTCTGATTCAAAGCAGTCTTTGAAGCTGCTGGCGGCTTAAGGCTAATAGCCACGCTGCGCATGTAGAATATGGAAGGTGATGGTGGATGGACAGTTTGCT